GCCCGGCCCAGCCCCGCCCCGCGGCCGCACCCCGGCAAAACGTGCGCCGTTAGCGGAGAGCGGGAGCTGGGACAGCTCGTGGACTGTTCTTTGGGGTGGAGGCTGCAATGCCCACAGGACCTTCCGAGCTCTTTTAGTTGCTGTATGTCTGGTACCGGTGAATTTTCAGTTCTCTTACTGATTCCCCTGTGGGCTGTGACACAACTGACTTATGAAATCACTAACGTGTTTTTATAAACTGCATGTAGCCGTAAAAATGGTTTACAGTGAGGAAACGTTGGTGACCTGAGTGCATTTCAGATGGCAAAAAGTAATCAGGAGGTAGGAGATGCATGTTGCTCATCTTCTGGGGCTGTGGAGATATCGAGATTCCAGTCAGACCTTTCTCTTGCAGAAAGCAGTGCTTTCCTCTTCACTTTGCTGCTCTTAGAGGATTTTACATTCTCTGAGAATTTTACATTTGATTTTGAGTTTTTTTCACTCAAATATCAGGGAAAATTCAAAATACAAACTGTTTATTAAAATAAAGCAACAAACATAGAGCTAATTGCTGCATTTTGTTCATCCTCTGGATTTGATGTGGAGGCCTATTGTTTTGTGTGCCCATACAGGAAGGAAAATATTTGTTTAAAATTTCCTCCTGGGTTCTACTAAACCAAGCAGAGGCTTATTTCTGCAACACCAAAAGCCTGACCTCCTAAATATAAAACCGAAGGAAGGCTTGTTTTTTGTCTTGTATGTTGCCAAACATTAACAAGACGCCTAGAGTGAAGACAGTCAGTGCTCTGAAGAGCTTACAGTTAAGAAGCTGAGCGTCTAGCTGAGGAGCTTGGAGTGGAATGATTTGAAACCTAACAAATAATTAAAAGCTCTGGAAAGCAAGAGCTGGGTTTAATGGGAATGAAAAATCTCCTCCTAGCAAACTGTTCTGTGGGTCATTCATTCTGTAAAATTCTTTCCTTGTGCAGTCCTAGGCAGAAGCTCAGCAGACTCAGGTAAAGTTCTGAATTATTTGTGTCAGCTGGGTTTCCCACTGAGAGCTTCCAGCTGGCAGGAGGCGTACGAGGGGAAAAGCTTTGGTGGGAGGCTAGGAAATGCTGGTGGGATTGTCTGTCCCTGTTTCACCTTGAAGAGTCTCTCTCCTTCCTGTGGCTGAAGAGAGATGTTTAAGTAAGGAAGAGGCTCATCTTAGGCAGCAGTGACTGTGTCCAGCTCTTGCTGCAGTTGTGGGGACCTGGGGACACTTAACTAGTTTGTACAGTCGGATTCCCATCTCATCAGGAGTCATGCGCATCATTTCCTCCATGTGTAGCCCTGCTATGATCTGTCTTTATCTCCCTGTGCCTGCGTGTGTTTGCTGGGACGCTGGTGGTGCAGAGGATCTCAGTTCTCTGTTCCCTGTGTGCAGGTGAAGAAGATGGGTGGCTTAGGGCTGCTGGCTGTGGATGTGCCAGAGAAGTACAAAGGAACAGGCCTCGACTACTTGGCCTATTCCCTTGCTGTGGAGGAGATCAGCAGGGGCTGTGCGTCCACGGGCGTCATTATCAGCGTCAATAATGTAAGTGTCTCAGGTTGTGTGCGAGGGACAGGTGTGGAACTGAGCTGGTGTTGAGGGGTTATTGCGGAGGGGTGTGTGGAGGAAACGGGATCTGTTCGTGTGGTGGGTTGTGGTGTGTTAGAAAGCTCATAGACGGTGATTACTGGGTTGTTTGTACCTTCAATAGGCACTAACTCAACTCTCAATTTTTAAAGTCTCTGTATTTAGGGCCGATACTCAAGTTTGGCTCTGAAGAACAGAAGCACAAGTGGATTGCTCCCTTCACCAGCGGAGACAAAGTTGGATGTTTTGCCCTTAGTGAACCAGGTGATGTGACTGTTCCCGTTGCAAAGGGCATAGGGTAGCTTCTTTCCTTAGTCAGCTTTAGGATGGATTTTAGGTCTGTGAAATTGTAAAGGTTTGTGGAAAGGTAGTTTATAGCAATTCTGTGTAAATGGAAGTCTCAGTGCCCACAGTATTAACTGCCATCCCCACGGTCTGTGGTTGAAATTTTCATTGCCTCTGTGTGAGCAGAGCTCTGGAGATGGACACTTCTTAAGACACATGGCCCTGTCCCCTTCCTGTTTGGGTCCTGTGGGAGGGACAATGATGACACTATCCCAGATATAAGAGGTGCTGTGAGCTGACTGGGGGAGGTGCAGGCAGGAGGGTGCGTTTTTCATCCTGGGCTGCCACTGTTTGTCCGAGGTTTTTTTCTGATGCCTTGCTCAGGAAACGGCAGTGACGCTGGTGCAGCATCCACGGTGGCCCGTCTGGATGGTGACGAGTGGGTTCTGAATGGCACCAAGGCCTGGATCACCAATGCTTGGGATGCCTCGGCCGCTGTGGTGTTTGCTACTACAGATAAATCCATGAAGCACAAGGTGTGTTCAGTGGGTCGGCCGGGAAAAAGGGGTACGAGCAAAGTAGCTGTGCAGAAGAAACACTTGGAAAAGGCTCTGGGGACTCTGTTTAGAGCTGTGCAGGCACTGAGCAGCGGAGGGACTGATGTGTGCTGGCTTTGTTCCACCTCAGCTCTCCCCTCTCTTCTCCTGGTTACCCAGACATGTGGCTTCTATGAAAAATGCTTGAAGGGACGCTTGTTGAGAGCCAGGTAAGCGGGAAGTCGGCACCATTCCCAAGAGTTTGGGTCTTGTTGCAGGGCATTAGTGCGTTCCTGGTTCCCATGCCAACTGCTGGGCTGTCACTGGGGAAGAAAGAAGACAAGCTGGGAATCAGAGCCTCTTCCACTGCCAACCTGATATTTGAGGACTGTCGGATACCCAAGGCCAACCTTCTGGGGCAGCTGGGAATGGGCTTCAAAATCGCTATGGTAAGAGATGGGTCAGGGTGCAGCTGTGGTTGTGTAAAGCCATAGTTCCCAAGCTTGCCATTTTCAAAACCATTTTCAGACTTAGGATTGCTTTGGTGAGAACTGCTAGCGTAAGCTGTTCTGTGTTATGTTAAGCAGTTGACCCCTCTTGCCAACGTGGGAAAAATCGTTTGTATGGCTTGATGAATTGTTAATTTGCCATAGCTCCTTGACAGCAGCTTTTGATGCTGCTGAGGTGGTGTATCAGCAGGGGTGGTGCATTGTAACTTTTTTTGTCCTTTCCCAACCCTCTCTTCTTCCATTTGTACCCGTGGATAAAGGGAAAACATGGCATTTCCCCTAAATACCGTGGCAGAGGAAAGCTGCCCAGGACAACTTCTGGGTAGTGTCTAAAGGTGGATGAAATCTGAGTTGTGACACGTGTGTGAGTTCTGAGGAGGAACCAGGCAGCTGCAGAACAGGATGTTCCTTGCAGTGACACGCTACCCCTTGGAAGTGCTACCCCTTGGAAGTGTTCGCTGCTCTCTCCATAGGGGCAAAACACCCTTTGTTGGCCTGACTTTCTGAAAAAAAAAGGCTGAGCTCCCTAGAGAACAGTCCATGCCATTATGTCCAAAGCTGAAAGAACCTGCCAGTCACCAACCACTATTTTTAAGCCATTCAGCCCAGACTGAGAAGCTGAAGTGTTTTCTCTCTATGCTGTAAATTCTTTCTGTATGCAGTGAGGCAGGGAAGCAGGTGAAAGCCTAATGGGCAGGTGCTTGAGCTAAAGCAGGTTATTGACTCAATTCACGAGTCATTTTGAAAAATGCTTGCTTCAGTGTGAGTACTAACAGTCAGCGCAAAGAGGAAAAACTGTTCAGATTGCCTTTTGTTTTACAG